GTGTCAAAGCGGGGTGGGTAGGGCCCACATTTTTTTCATTTTTGATAATTTTGTAGGTAAAATGAATCCGGCTCTAAGAGGTATTTTAACTACCGGTTGCACGGAGGTGATTCACGTTTAAAGCTTAGTGCCACACTGCCGCACTGCCCGTAAGGCGCTCTGGCCACCAGGGGTAGGCGAACCCGCCAGTCGTCGTGGTTATGCTGTACCGCAAGCAGGCCTCGGGGTCGGGGTCGTGTTGCACACTTGCACCCGGGTCAAAATCGTTTGTACACAATGGACTCACAAGCTTAATTCACGGAAAAATTTCCTCGGTTCAAGGCTGTGAGTCTTGTTTCGAGGAAACGATTTTCTGTGTTTCTGTTTTCAGTTCGCTAAGTAGGCCGATACCCCGCGCTGCGAGAAACTCTAGCCACGGAGGTGTGGGGTAGGGACGAGTGACTCAATTCCGACTTCCCTCGGAAAAGGGAAGGGACGAGCATTGCTGCACTTTGGTAAAGCATAAAGTACGTCAACAGCGAAGGAGAGTTCGAATAATGCAGTTCCCTTCTCCCACAAGTCCCCGATGGTCACTGGTCAGCCATGACATCGCCATCCTCAATATTTTTTCCTCCGGATCGCCGTGGCAGCTCTCGGACACACGGGGTCGGTGAGGCCCGCGTGTTCTGTGCAATGCCCGTCCCTTCACCGTGGCTATACCGCTACAAAGAACACGAAAGGGTATCGTCACGGGCGGCGCCGCTGGCGAGCCTGACGGGCTCTGCGGCTCTGCCCCAGGCGCTGCCACACAAGCCCCGCTCTTAGCCAGTCGGGCCGCGCCCGCCCCGGCCGTGTCGGCCGAGTCCACTGGGCCGAGCGCGGCCCGATAAGCCTGGCAAGAAAAATAGCGCCTCGATAAGGCCCATGCACCATGTCCTCCCCCGCCCCCGAGGTGTAGCTCGCCCCCGCCGCCCGCCGCCACCCCCGGGCGCGTCGCGTACCCCAAGATGCGACACACGCGTATATGATCGTGTTAGCCACACCCCGCTGTCTCTCGATCTGTCCGAAAGGTACACAAAAATACATTACAGTTAAACATTCTAGAAATGCTTTATAGACCACCGTGTAAACGACGTTGACACAACACGTGTTGTACTGTAGGCGTAAAGAGCCTGCACCAGAGGCACCAACGCTTTAAATGCCCAAAATTCGCTCTGAATGCTATGCTAAACGCTTCGAACGTCAACAATGTGGCACCTTCAG